TAAATTGGATTGGTAAACAAAAGACTTGCTCGAACGGGTCTCACACTAGGCTTATGACGTCAGTCGGTCGTCATGGTAACCGCAAACAATACCTTGCCCATCATTTTATGCTAATGTTTTGATGAATAATTAATGTGCCCATCTTGCCCATCACTTGCCCATCCAAAAAGGGGGTCATTTTATACTTAACATACTACTGACCAAATTGGACGAAATTACCTCGCCTAAATCAAGGAACTTCTCGCTAATGATCTGCGTGACTAATTTGGCCGGGACCGGAGAAGCACCAGGTCCAATAACAAAGGGCTGAACAACTGCTGGCGTTGCGAAGGTCTTTSACGACGTGAGGGAGCCAGATAAAACCGTAGTCGTCGAGCTGGAATGACTGCCGACAGCTCCTAGCGAACGAGCTTGCGGGATAGGCAAAGTCACTATTCTAGCGGTACTAGTTGTATTTACGCTCGCGAGCGAGAACGTGTTTACAAAGTTTGGTACTAACACATTGGACGTACCTGGTGTGTCCTGGGCGGTTGACTGCAGTGGCAATGTTGATTGACTTGTCGTTGCTGCAGGCGATTGCGAGCCAAACCACATTTTATTCGTCACTTGACTCTGAAGATGACTTCCGCTCCGGTTGTCCAAACGCCAGTCACATCAAACATGCAGTCCTTCGGCTCAGGACTACATCCACCCGGATGTTCATAATACTTCGATTAGCATATTACTCATAGCTAGTAAAATAACTCAAAGGACATCATATATGAGACTAGCAAGAACGTAATWGAATGGCCTGTCTATTTAGAAACAATGATAGTGATGATAGATACATGATAGTTTATCCTTGACATTTACAATTGGCCAATGTAGTTAAGCACCGTTGACTGAAGCTATCAAACAGCTTCACAAAATCGTTAGTTGATTTAGACAAGGAGGTGTAGGGGGAACCTCCCTTATTTAGAGCAAAGTAACGATGATCAATATTCAACATTTTAGTCAGCGGGGCAACTTGAATAAAAAGAAGAACGATTCATATTGGCATACTAGCCTCGCTTCTACAAATTATTTTAACGAAATGGTCTAGTTCAATTGGAGGTCCTAAGATAGGGCCATAAAACTCACTAAAAATGATTCTGAAGCTAGTGGTATCAACTATAATCTAACGGGAAACTGAACTGTATCCAAGAAACTTAACGAGTATCCAAGAGCCGCCGAATATGGAATGTTGGAAGGGTTTGAAAGAACCACAAGCGTTAAATATAGTCTCTTTTTCCTTCACCTCTAACCATTTTACAGTACATATTAGTATATTCCTTTCTATTTAAATAGATGGCTGTTTTTATTGCTGGAGTAGTGGGCATTATCGTTTTTTATGTCATCATACTTGGACTTGGTATATGGGCTGCACAAAAGAAAAAACAAGGAGAAGAGGAGACGATCCTGGCAGGACGATCCATTGGAGCAGCACTGGGAACCTTTACTTTGACAGGTAAGCTGTGAATGAATACGTTTTCGTGAGTCCAGCGACAAAAATGAAAGGACGTTTGTATCGACCTCTTCTGTGGAATATTTATCGGAGTGACTCAAAATACCGCTCACACTTTCGAATTGACTGAATGCCCGACATTCCAAACTTTCTCGTGCTTTTGGTATTCAAACAAAACCTGTCTATCTTTGTAAAATTGTTTGTATCGAGCTTTTAGGGATTCGAATTTCAAAGGAGTTAATTTTCCGGGGTAATGCAGGATATATTAAGAACTTGCGAAAAAGAAGAAAAACTAAAATAAACTAAAAATAAAACAACTAGTAATCATAACAAAATCAAGTGCAAAAGAAATAAAATAAAATAAACGAAATGGCTTCTTTCGATGCAAAGTTTGGCACCGTTTTCTAACAAAATGGATGTTGATGAACTATTGATATGTGCACAAAATTAATCCAACTGGACAAGGTCCAAATAAAGTTCTTATCAAGGTTCCGGCGAGAACATTGAAAATTCTTGCGATGTTTAATGTGTTTGACAGCATTGACTTTTGCATCTGCTTGAGTACCACGCTGCTTTTTATAAGAAGATATAACTAGCTAAAGACTAGTGTGAGCTGCGTCGGTGTTTCTAATGAAACAGTAATGATGAGAAGGTTAATTATACACCGTGAAAAAGATGCTTTTTATAGTTATCATCATCATCATCGTCATCACCATTATCATCATCATCATTATTTTTTCCAGCAACTTGGGTTGGTGGAGGATACATCAATGGTACTGCTGAGGCTGTTTATGATAAAGGTCTTATATCTGCTCAAGCACCTTGGGGATATGCAACAAGTCTTGCCCTAGGTAATAAAAAATTAAAATATTTAATGATACATGTCTTTCAGTCAATCAATCCCTGATAGACAATGAAGAAAAGCGTGTGCCTTCCAGCACGTTTTATAAGAATTTACTGAACAGTTTTTAAGTAAAAAAATAAGTGTTCCTTTTTTTCCTAGCACAAAAAAAAATGTCAGGAGTATACTTTAGTGAAACCAACATAGTGTATTAATAAAGACAATATAAAAGAATTAGTCTTGAGTTTCATGCATTGACACTAAGTTTTGGACGAAATAATTGGACAAGGAAATTTCCGAGGACTGACAAAATTGGATGAGGCCGTAGGCCGAGTCCAATTTGGCAGTCAGAGGAATTTTTCGAGTCTAATTACTTCTTGATTGGGGAGCATGAAATCCCATTACCTATTAATTATATAGCTGCCTAATTAATCCCATATCAACAAGACCTGTCCAATTGAGAAAATAATTGGACAGTTACCTATATGGGATTAATGAGAAGCTGTATAATTAACACATTTATTCGACTAATTTTCACACGAAATTAAAGCATGTACCGACTTTTACTCTTCGTCAAATTTCATTTCAGGTGGAATGTTCTTTGCAAAAATCATGCGTAGACGAAACTACGTAACCATGCTCGATCCCTTCCAGGAGAAGTATGGTACTARGATGGGAGGTCTTCTGTTTTTCCCTGCCTTATTGGGCGAGATCTTTTGGAGTGCTGCCATATTGTCCGCACTTGGTTCTACCGTCAGTGTTGTAATTGGTCTTGGAAAACAGCTATCCATCATTGTATCTGCWTGTATAGCTGTGCTGTATACTCTAGTTGGTGGTCTGTATTCGGTTGCTTATACTGATGTTATTCAGCTCCTTTGCATATTTATCGGACTGGTAAGATTTATGTCAGCGTTATACATTTMATTTGATTTTAATTTAATTTTAATTAATTTGGCACTTAATGCGACAGGATATAGTTACAGGGCTGATGCCCCAATTGCTTAACAATACCCCATTACAAACATATGGTAATCAAAAAATATAATTTAAATATATGTTAATAAGAAATTCTAAAATATACATATTATGGCGTATGTACATAATGACTTTTTTGAGAAACATAGTTTTTACAAACGCTTTAAATTGTGAGATACTTTTGAAATCTTTGACGTTTAGTTGAAATCTTGATGTTTAGTTAGGCTATTCCAGATATCGAATGTCCGAGGGGAAAAAAAAAAGATTTTGATGGTGCTGCATGCTGGTTATCATACGGTAATTATAATATAGAGATTTGTTTCCATTGGTAAATACGCATGCTTTGCTGTTTCTTTCTTTGTTTAGTGGCTGAGTATCCCATTTGCAATGACAAATAAGGCAGTGACCAAAATATCTACAACAGCCCCAATGTGGATGGGTGAATGGCCAGTGAACTACGGATACTGGCTTGACCATGCAATGCTTCTGGTAAGTCAAGGTCACAATTATAGAATTCCGTGAAGAAAATTATACTTTTTTCTTTAAGCATTTTTTTCTTTCGGAAACTAAATACAGTAAGAAGCATGCTCAAAACCAATTTTCACTTTTCTCTCTTTTGTAAGTAGAAAAACTGCGATTTTTATCTGACTCGCCCCAGTCTCCACTTGGAAAAGTGTCAGTTTCCGACTATTTTGAGATGTTTTTTCAAAATAACAGATAAATCAAAAACGAGAATGGTGACCCCATTCTTTATTTCAGATTTTTGATAAATGCGATGCTCGTCATTATTTATCAAAATATGAAGGAAAATTTATTGGATAGATTTTGAAATATTTTGATGGGAATAGTTGACATGTGCAAGTCTTTGGAAGTTCGTAGAGGCGCACATACATACATTTTTCACTAATAGTTCAAGAATCCTGGTCGTCCAATGAGTTTGATGGGTTTAATAGCACAGACTATCTTGTAAGCTTCGAGCTATAAGTACGTTTTGTTATTATGAAAGTACTTTTAATGTGAATAAAGGTTCTTGATTACAGCTTCCGGGTTACCGCATTTCACTATAAAACCCATAAATTGACATATTTGGAGAGCAATTAGCGAAAAAAAAAACGAGAATGAGGACCCCATCTTTTTCTTGCAAATTCTAAATGTCCATAAAATAATTAATGTCCATTCAAAGTTTCAGGACAAAGTTATTGGCAAAATTTCTTTCAAAGGGAATTACCTTAAACTGAGACAACTTCTTTAAAAGTCTAGTTAAAAAAAAAACTTGTTTAGTTCTCTTTTGTAGGTATTTGGAGGCATTCCTTGGCAGGTGTATTTTCAACGAGTGCTTGCTTGTAAAACTCCAGCCAAGGCACAATTCCTGTCGTTTGCTGGTGCATTTGGTTGTGTGATCATGACAATCCCAGCTGTTTTAATCGGAGCTATTGGTGCATCAGCTGGTAAGATATATTACTAGCACTAGAGTCACCTTACTAGGTCTTAAACAGATCCTTATTAATGCTAAAAAAAAAGATAAATGCAAATAATGATGATATAAAAATCCGGTTCCTAAGAGGGAAAATAGGCGCTCAATAAGCGCATGTGGCTACTGCTGTAAGAAATGATTGTTATACAGGTAATAAATGTAGGAAGGTGTTAGACTATTGAGATTTAGCATAAACCTACTAGCATACTATCACGAATCCTGCAATCTGATTGGCTAACGTAATCACTACTCACTACGGCGCTACGCTATCTATACTATCTAAATTCACCGAAAATTGTTCTAAAACCCGTATCAATCCACGAAGAGAAGTAGAATAGCCAGCAAACGCTCAGAATATTTTTAGTGCATATTAACACGTATCATATCTGAAAACCAGGCCATTTTAGATTAAACTGTTTCGCTAGGAGCAAATTTTCTATTGGATTTGGCGATTCTATCCCCCACATAAACAAGCAGTGACGTCATAGTGAAATAGGGCAATTGGATAGTAGAAAAAAGTTTAACTAGTTTATTTTAAAAACGACAATGGTATAAAATACAACAGCGTTAAATACTATAATTTGGTATAAATGTTAAGGAGATACTGTCAATCTGGAACTTCATTTTAAATTGACGGAAGCAGAGAAACAGAATTATGTAAATTAGTAAAAATTGTATAGCTGAAATTATCCTCCGAAAAGGCTCAATTATCCTCCGAATGGGCTGATATATTCCCTTTAAGGGCTTTTGTTTTCGCAACAGGCTCTTTTATCTGCAAAAGAAGCGTGTTGCTTACTGTACAATCAGCGAGCGTTGCTTTTGCTATCTTGTCAGCGTATCATCAAGTAGCATGCATATCGAATCTTGACTTAAAAGTCGCATAATACTTGCAAAACCTTTCATTTGACCGTAAATAGATATGAAATGAAAGTTGTGATAAATAATATTGGTACATTTTCTGAAATAGTTTACTTATGAGCACTTGAGTTGAGCAAACGTGCAACAAAGCACGAGTCCGGACGAAGGAACACGACGTTTGTCATCGCTGTCACATCGCTATTGAAGCGGTTACACTTCGGTAATACGAACCTATGGCGAGATGTATTTAATGGGGTTCTTTTTGGTTTCGAAAATTATATTTTGTCTACGGCTTACTACTGATTGGTTACGATGTTTCTTTTGTTACTTATTGACGGACACCCTTACAACGCGTTAGCATAGTAGCCACAAAAGGCTGTGCCTAAGGTCTTCAAGATTAAGGGCGCAGTTTCTTCCCCATCCGGAATTTTGGGACAAAAAATAAGTTATCTATAAGTTATTTATTTTTTCCTCCTTGGTTTTCAACTTCTTTAGACATTTGTTATCCCGTGTGTGCGTGCGGTTGACGTCAGAAAAACGGGCCGCGAGCCTATACTAAGGAAATGCCATACGTTCAAACAGTAAATTAGAACGCACGGTTTTTAGGAGACCGGACCGGAAAAAAGTTTTTTAATCACTCTCTTTTATYTTTGCAGACTGGAGGCAAACAAGCTACTATGATGCCCCCATTAACGTCACACTGACAAACAATTCCGACCCCCTCAAGCCACATGGACTGCTTATTCTCCCATTGGTTCTACGTCATCTTACTCCTAACTACATTGCTTTCTTTGGYCTTGGAGCCATTTCTGCTGCTGTCATGTCATCAACGGACTCCAGTATCTTATCATGCAGCAGCATGTTTTCACACAACATTTACAAGGCAGTCTTCAGGCCAAAAGTAGGGTGAAGCTATTCAAATTATATTATTGACTTAGATACTCAGARAAAACATTTTGTTCTTATCTWAAGTAGTTACGATTAAAGTATGCTGATTGTATCTGATTAATTGCATTTATAGGCCACCAGTCGTGAGTTGCTCTGGGTGATTCGAGTGTCCATATTGGTGGTTGGTACTCTGGCTACCTTGATGGGACTGACCGTAGACTCGGTGTACTCCCTCTTYGCGCTGTGCAGTGACCTAGTCTACGTGGTTCTCTTCCCTCAGCTATGCTGTGTCATCTATGTGCAACACACCAATACCTATGGATCATTAGCTGGTTACWTCTTGGGTCTCGTTCTCCGTGTCCTTGGAGGAGAGAAATTGATWGGCTTACCACCTGCCGTCAAGTACCCATACTACTCTGATGTATACGGTCAGATGTTTCCATTCCGTACCCTTGCGATGGCTTGCTCTTTCGCCACCATCTTGGTGGTGTCTTACCTGATAAGGTACCTGTTCAAGAAGGAAATTMTTCCGATGTCGATGGATTTCCTATACTGTTTCCGGGAGTATGACCTTAAGCACGACAAAGAACCAAATATTGTTTCTGCCCAAACAAAAGATAAGTTTGAAATGCCAGAGCTTGGTTTTTCTAATTTGGCTGAAAGTTCTGTAAAACTTCCCAAGGAGTAAAATCAATGCACCTTTGATGAAGTCGCGTGACGTACCACGTAGTAATGTTTCCATGTGGAGGTTGAACTTAAACGGCAGCAGATTCACAGAAAGAATATGAAATCTTCACTCCCAACTTCTATCTGGAACCATTGATTGTCGTCACTATATTCATTTCAGKAAAGGTCAATCACATAAAACTTTTGGTAAATGTTGTCAAACGAAAGTTACAAATAATAGTCTTAGCATTTTAGTGCTTTGGTTTTAATAACTGCATGTGCTATGTAAACTCTTGATATGACTGTTGATATTAGGATGTTGTAGTCAGTATGCAAGCGCAATACAAAGAAAACGTAAGATGGTAGTCAGCAAGCGCAATACAAAGAAATGGTAAGATGGTAGTCAGCAGGCGCAATACAAAGAAAACGTAAGATGGTAGTCAGCAGGCGCAATACAAAGAAAACGTAAGATTTCCCATCATTCGTTTGCAACATTTTCTCAAGCGTTACAATAAACACCAGGAAAACTGGTGAAGAATGCTCAAACTGGAAATGTTGTTTCAAGAGGGAGATAAAGTTGTTAATCATTAGTTTCTATTGTCGAATGGACAATTATTCGTGGATGTTGTCTCCAMGTTGTTACTGATTTACATTTCTGAATACGCTATATGCTGCTAATTGATACAAATACAGCAARCTATTTGCAGTAATATTTGCATATTGAATACTAGCTTTATCTTTCAAACACAATCCAACATTTATTGCTAATAAATTTTGTTAAAAGTTAAATGAGTTTTAATCCATTGAAGTTGAACTAAAAGCATTATGTCATTAACTTTATTCAACCATAATCCCTGTCACTGTTACTGCGCATGCTCAATGCATGGTAAAATTTCGTTTTCCATATTTTTATATTTCGAGCGTTGATTGATCAAAACTGATATAAGCAAGGAAAACAATAGCGGATGAAAAAAAGTTCCAAATCTAGAAAAGAAAAAAAAAAAACAACAACATGGAAGCTTCCGTAAAAACAGCTTTCTTACCATTAATTTGGGGAGTTTGCTCTAGATGTGAGAAAATGTTTAATTCCAATCTCGTACCGAGAGCCTGTATTTCTTACTGCGCATGCTCGACGAAACAAATATTTATTTATTTTACATATCTGGGTACAAGATTGATTCGATTCATATTTGTGCTTGCGCAATAAAGACTAGGTGTATGGATATTACTACCACAATGGAGGCTCTGGCATTTCGTCGAGCATGGACAGTAATAAGAATGAMAGGGCTCTGGGGAAAATGGAAAAGACATCCGAGGTTAATTTCACTAAACCTAATATTCTGCAGCCACGAGACCGAAAGATCCCTTGAGATATAAATATTAACTAGACACATATCTACGTGAACTCGGGCTTCATAGCAGAAAATCGAAAGAATTCTTTGTGAACACTGTCATCCTTCTRACGAAACCTTGAAAAATTCCGCCATTGCTCGACCATGTGCTTATGTGGCGCATACTACGGACGCGCATAGAACTTGCGCATGCGCTTTGAACGCAACTGCGATTTGTGACAAAACGCAAATAAAGCCCAATTTATACCTCGGGCATTTCTTTGAAAGYCYCAGTAATAAAACAGCCGCCATTTTGGTCGATCTAAGAAGAGAAGCTTAACGAGGAATGCTTGGTATAGTCAACCAACATGGTGGCTATGACGTAACATGCACCTCAAGAATTGTGTTGGATTATCTTTAGTTATCTTCTCTTAATTTCCAAGTAAAATTAACCAGCAAAGGGAAAAAACGTCAGCCATTGGATAGATCGGCCGAAATTTTTATTCAGGGACAAAATTAGCCCTTGGGGTAGTTGGTGGTGGGTTTTGTACACGTGACAAAATTCCTAAGTGGGAGAACTAAGGTCGAAATCAAAGACTCCCTCGAAAAAGGTCGTAATGTATTTTAACTATATTTTTTCACTGATAATAATTATGAAGGGCATTTTCTTGATATCAAACACAATTCAATTAAAGTCGATCAGCTTTATTTTTACCTTTCAGTTTTATCTAAATTGGGTTCCCTGTGCTGAAAGCAATGKAAACTCCATTTTTTTGGCACTACCTAAATTTATATATACGTCTATTGCTTGTCTTGAATTTAGTGTTTCCCTGGGCCGAAGAAGCCTCAAAACGCTTGATTGGGGGTTAAACATCTCGGCAGTTTCTGGCTCTATGAAATTTTCACTTGGTAGGATGAAAACATTTCAAAGCCCAAAACCAGACAAAAATCCAGTCGCTTAAAATACCATCAAGTCATGGACAGAAACTGTTACTTCACCTTCACTGGTATCCCGAAAAAAAAAAAAAGATCTCGGAGCTCATTTTCTAGTACAAACTATACGTCTAGCGGCTGCGGAGAAGACTATGCTATAAGTCCTCCCCCATAGTCAAAATGTGAATGCACGAAACTGGAAGAGACCGCGTTTTTGGATTGAAAAATCAACCTGAAGTAGAGTGGCTTGGAGGGAGAATCGATGAAAACCTCCAATCTTGGGATTATTTAAAGAAAAGAAGTTGAGTGGTTACCTAAAATGGCAAAAAAGTTTAAAACCTAAGCTTTATTTATAAATATAAACGACGACACAATATGCAAAATTCTAGCAATATCTAGCAATATATGGATAATGTGGTGGAGTAGACAATCGCAGAGTACACAATTGTTCATATTGACTAGTTGTCTGTAAAATATCTATAAATTTAACGCGTGTAGTTATATAAATTGATACACTTTGAAATTCTATAATTCTTTATTAAAGTTCAATTCTTAATTTTTCATTTTTTTTTTTTTATTTTTTTTTTACCCCGGTAAAATAAAATGTTATGTAGTAACAGCTGCGTGTAATCAAAACAATAAGGCTTTTAATCTAGCTATGGAAACCAGCATGTTCGGAAATTGTCCCATCTAAAACACCAYATGCCTCATTTTATATTTTGAACTYAATACCAATTGACACTCTACACTTTTAATGTCATATGATAATTTGCATATTGCCAATGCATGCCTGGCATACATGTATAAATAGCGAAGTCGATGGTGAGTTATATCATACAGAATAAAGGAAAGGAAAACTTGGTACAGAAATATATAAGGTAAGGTATTTTTCGTAAATAGATGCTTCAATAAAAGTTAATAGCATAAGAGGAAAT